TTTTTAAAAATGTTTTTGCACACATCAGAAGTTTTAATTAAAGTGAAGCTGGTGGTTTAAAGCGGCTCCTCGGTTTACTTGTTAACTAGTTCACATTAAACAGACTTGGATCAAATCTAACCGGATGTCTTCAGTCTGTTTCCTCTCTGCAGGTCACCTGATCCTCCTCACCTCCGCTGCCAACCTCCGCGCACGCAGCCTCTCGTGAGCGCGCTCGGGTCGCTGGGGAGCGCGCAGATCAGAAGCTCCGGAGCAGCTCGACCAGAACGGACCGGTACCGCCGACAGTCCCGGTAAGAAGCCGGTAGCGGAGGCTTAAAGTCGGGCTGGTTCTGTGTGTCTGTTGAGTTTTCATCTGTGCAGGTATCAGCTGGAAATGACGGCCAATTCGATGAAAGGCCATTTTGCACATTTTCGCTGTTTCCGGCATTCAACAGAGTCCCGCGGTTTCACCTCCACCCACACAGTCCAGTGCGCATGTGTAGCAGGTCGGGACGCACAAAAAAGACAATCAGTGCCCAGCCCTAAACCCAACCGGAAGTCCGCCATTTTGAAACAACACTGTGACAATTTTGGCGATTTTCACTCTTTTTTTTTTGCCATGTTCGGCCATTTTCTTCATCTGTCTCTGACAGGGAAGGTCGTACGCACCTGAAATTCGGCCATCACAAACTACAGGGTGTGGTGATTACAAGTTAGTAAAACAGTCTGGAAATGGCGGCCCCTGGAACTTTGCCAAAATGCTATAAAACGCCATAATATGGGACGTTTTGTGTAACTGGCCTGTTTGCACCGATCGGCCTGAAAATTTACACTCGGGCTCCGAGTGCGTTGCTGCTGCCACGCCCGCCGATAGGGGGGGACAAACGGGTCTGTTGTCCCGGGCCCAGAGTAGGTGTGGGGCCCAGAACTGGACCCTCATTGAATTATGGATTTTTTTCCCCAAAGAAGGGCTATTAATGGAAAGAAACAGTGCAATATTTGAGTTAGAAGTTTTAATTAGTTTTCGTCTGAACTGTCCTTAATATCTTTGGAGTTG